TTTTTTTTCCGAAGAGAGGAAGAACAAGTCCAGATACACAATTATGACAGTGGATATGCTCATGTCTTTGTCTTGTAATGAGAGGAAAAAGCCACCTCAAATCAGCTATACTTGGACTTCTATTGGATAGCTTTGTAGTGTTAAAAAACCCCAAACCTCTAGCAAAATGTGCCCTCAGAAAATTACCAGAGGGAAGACTCAATACATCGTGAAGCTAGGGGGGCAAATTCTGTTTGGGATTTCCTGTTGTATAAACCTGCATCACTGTATCTCCTCTGGACAGACACCAGCACTACCAAAAGCAGACTGTGAAGCCCTATATTCCAGTGCCTCGTTACAAAAAAGTCAACCTCATTCATTTAAAATCTGGTAGGAAGGTAGTAAAGAATAACCCATAGTCGATCAGGCAATACATCAAAGCAAATAAAAAATGCTGTCACCTACTGTGTGTGAACACACGGCCTTAAAGAGGGCCCTAAAATGCCAGACTGCCTGTGCAGGTATTCCACATGCCCCTGAGGTACTTTCACCTGGTGGACAACCATCTCCTTTTACAGTGGCTGAATGGTTGGTGAAAAGGATACTTGGGCAGATTTCATTGTGGCTGAACGCCACGTCTGTGAGATCTAGCAATCATCAAGCCCCACTTCAGCCTGCTTTGGAGGCTGTAAGTGGACTAAAATGATGTAAATGCCTTGAACTCCTCCCTGCAAAAGTTTAAATTCTTCGTCATAGGAGGATTTCACTCTATTTTGGGCTGAGGTGGAGAGGGGCAGAGGGTGACAGTGTAGATTTAGCTGGCTGAAGTATTACATGTTGATCACTGGATGTTCCCACCAAAAGCATTTTTTTTCTGAATATAACTCATCTTTCCAACTCTACCACTCCCTGGAGACAGTTAGGACAAATGCGTGTGCCATCCCTCCTTGTCTTGCTCTGCGAAAGGCAGTTCTTACAGCAGGAAGAGAAAATTATTTATGATAGAATTTCACACATTTTTCTGGGTGTTTAATGAAGCTTGAACTTGAGTGGAGCAGAGAGACTGCTTATTGTCGAATTTTTTTCGAGATCACTGCACAACAAACAGAAACTGAATAAGCAATTAAGTTAACTGGCTTTAAAACTCATATTGGCTGAGGATTAAGGTAATTATGTCTGCGCTTACACACATTCATTGCAGCTTTAAACAGTCTTGCTTGCTGTTTTGTTGCTGATGTGGTTCTAAAAGTAATCTGAGTTGTTGTCCTGCTGTTAATTACCACAAAGGTTACAAACACAAGCTCTCCTCGCTATAAATATAGCTATGTTGTTTGTATTACATGCTCAAAGGAGATGCAGGCCTCTTTTGCTGGGTTTATACAAACAGATCCAACCGTTTCTTCCGGTATCAAAGAATTTACAATACCTTAGACTTAAGGGATCTGTTAAAATAACACACAATAGATGGGTTTGGTATTGTCATACAGTGATTTCACTGCCAAAGGAGAAAAAAAAATCTGTTTTTAAGTTTGCGTGAAAAGAGAGACTCTGGGAAAGCAGTATTAGTCTCCACAATATCACTGGCAGGGCAATGTAGATTCTTCACCTTCTGGGTTACAAATAAGTTTCCTTTCAAATGGTTGGAATGCAGGGGAGGGGAAAGGAAGGGAAACCCCCACATTCTCCTTGTCTAACAAGGAGCCACAGCGTGAGAACCACTCCCCAGCAGAAGTAATCTGTGATTGACAATGGTTTTCTTTGCAGCCAGGGCTAAAAATGGTTTAGCTGTAAACAGACAAATGCAGAACATTTTAATGCCCTTTACAAACGCAAGGGCTGCTTAGACAAGCACTCTACAGGCAGGGTGGCTAGCTGGTGGCACCAAGTGAGCAGCAAGCTTCAGAGTTCCTGAAAACCCATGAATTTTCATATCAGGGTATAAGCACAATCACAGGAGAAAAAAAAAATTCTTGCGATGGACAGATTCACAAAAACTGGAGATTTATTCTCCAGGCAGCCCAGGCATTCATATGTGTGATCTTAGGCGAGCTGCTATATTTGGCTTCACCCTTCCTGCCTGAAAAACTGAGAAAGAAATACTTTCCCCTTCACAGAGAGGATGAATGTGTCTAAGGCACTTGGTACGATGGGGTGGAAGCTCTGCAAACAACCAGAACAAAGTCTGAGACTTTGATACAATTTCCCTGCAATCTTAGTCAGCTCTGAGGTCTACAATGAAAGGACATGGAGGAAATGAGATGAGGTGGGACAACCTCAGAATTTCACAGAGACTACGAAGGGACCTCCTTTTTATTGAAACAGGTCAAATTAGCTTGTGCTGAAGTTAATGACCACATGAAGAAAGTTAAGCAGCAACAGCTTACTTGTATTTTTCAACAGTGTGAAAAATGTTGCTAACATGAACTGTATCTCTGCGACTTCGCTCTTCACTGATTCTTGCCTGCGAATCAGACACAGTCACAGACTTATCCAAGGGTTTTGCAGGATGTTAAAGGGCAAGTTTGCCAGTTGCTTTCCACAGTTATTTTGCCTAAGTTTGGCAGAATCTGTTCCTTGATGATCTCATTTGGAGATGAACTCCCTATACACTGGGGAGGCCACCTGAACTAAATAGGACTCAGCCCCAAACAATGTAGACTTCTAAGGTCCTAAATTAGTATTTGGTAAACACATTGAGTCGTAACTGAAAGAAATCCTTATTTTAAAATGAAAACCAGCGGAGAAAGGCAATATTGACAGCAAGACTGTAAGTCATAGAAACTCTATTATGAATCAAAACAACAGATGCAACATGAACAACAGTGCCTTTTATAAATACAAATTAGACTTTTCTATTTCATGCATTGGAAAGGCTAATATGCTCAAAATAAATTTCCCTAAATCTCTCAGTAATGTTTTCTATGGTCAGTGTTGACTAGCCGTTACCAAAAAAACCCGGGGATGATTTATATTCCAGCAGAGCCACTAACCCCAAACCACATTTTTCTGTCAGACCTGACATTAATAACTATAACCACTTCCACTAACTATATTCTTTTCGCAGCGGAAGAAGGAAAGTACAGGTGATTCACACATCAGTGATTTCTTGAACTATATTCACCTTCCTTCTTTGTTAGCAGGCCTACTGACTGCATGAGTCACCAATTATCACCTTAAGCACCAGACAGGAACTAAATTATCGCAGTGCTCCCTCCACAAAGCAGGCATCATTCCACGTTTGCTGTAATCAGTGTCTGGGGCCCAAATACCTCAGACTTCAAACAGGAAATAACTTTTTCCTCACCATTTCACAGTATGAAGAACCAGCGTTTCAGGGACCGGAGGAACTTCCCCCACCCAAAAATTCTCTGGGCTCGCTGTTACAGCAACAGATAAGCTCATGAATCAGTGGAAGTACCATGCAGAGGCAGACAGACTGCCAGTCCTCGCTCACTGACAATGGAAAAAGCAGAATGGCCAGATCATGTTCATATTTCCATGTCTGGTCACATGCAGGAGAGGAGAACATCAACTACTGCTTCATTCCTTGCATGGTATGTACTGTTACCAGCGACTCACCTATGCAGTAGCCCAGGCACACAAAGAAACAAAACTCAGTTGAACAACTTTTACAGAGTTGCTTCTGGTTTCCCATTATCACCATAGATATCTGATTATTTACATGTAGCTTTCAAAGCCTATTACTAAGACTTTGCATAATGAACAAATACATTTTGCACCACCTCTTGTCTAACAAGAATGCAGGGCTTGACTTTTCTCTTGTGTTTTTCACTGGTGTAATTACAATTACTTCAGTGGTGAAACTTCTGGCTGATACCACAGTGAGAGCATGTCATGACACATGAAACTCATGAACTAGAAAGTATTCCTAACTATCTCTAAATACATCACGAAAGGAACATTTCTTTTTAACATTTTGTCCCTATTTTTAGCAGGTACATCAAAACCTGACAACTTACTCTTGTCTGACATGATCCTACAATTTTATTTCTGCCCAGTCATGTGGCACTAACTGTGCCACTCGCAGCTTTTCCCATCCTGTCCCAGCTTGAAACCAACCTCGCATTGACTCCTTTGTGTCTAATCATGGAGGGAATCAGGGTGGAAGTACCAATGAGATGCAATGGAAAATTTTTTGAATGACATCTATCTTCAGACTTTGGTTGCTCTTTTATTGATGGACAAAGCAGCTCTAAAATGCTAATGCTGTTTTGGACTTCATAACTTTTACATGTTCAAAACCCATGCAAATAATTACGCATCAATAAGAAGACAATTCCTGCACAAAATTTTAATCGAATATGTCCTCCTTCCCCTTATCTCTCTACCGATGCATGCTCATCTTTCTAGCCTTTTCTAGGAGGCTTTTAAAAGAGTAAAGTTATAGAGCTCAAGCCCTTAAATTGCCATTTTTTCAAAGGTACGTGATCAGTACTTTAGTCGGAAATGGTTATACACTTAACTAGTCATAGAATATATATAACATCATATGACTTAGATAACAAATCATGACATGCACAGCAAACAATATAAAACACAACTCCATTTGAGTTCTCACAAAACACCTCCATTATCCCTCAATAAACACATTTTCTGTCAGGCAAAGGAGAGCTCACAATTTTTTCAGTTTAAATTTTGCAATGCTCTATTCCAATAAAATACTCTAAATGACTCCGGTGTAAATAAGATAAGCCTCTGTCCCATTAAGATCATAGCAAATTAGAGGATTTGAATGTAAGGCTCTTTGCCTGAGTCTATTCCACTACACCATGTAGATTTTCACATTTCAGCAGGACACTGGCATTCCTACTGCTAAAAACAATGAAACAAAACATTTCCAAAAATCTAACCCCACCAGAGAACATGGTAGGTCTTTTCTAACTTCACTTCCTATGACAGTATGATTAAAACCTGTAGTACAAATGACACAATTAGAAAAAAAGAAAAAAAAATCCATGGAAAATAACATGTCAGTTATACAAAGATTAAAATAAGATTACCTTGGCAGGTCCGTTCATCTGTGAGCAGTTTATAGCCCTTCTGGCAGCTGCACTCAAAGCTGCCAACCGTGTTTCGGCAGAAATGGTCACAGCCACCATTGTTTACCAAGCACTCATCAATGTCTGCAAAGAATGAACAGGCAAAAATTTAGTTCACGACAGCAATTCAGCAGTTCAGGGCAGGAGCACAGGAGTTTACTCAGATCCCCAAGAAGGCTGCTGTCCCTGTTAGGAATCATGTTGGTCAGATGTATCCCTTCCCAAACCTTTCTCGCAAGGCTGATGAAAGAGCTATGGGCTGAGCTGTTCTGGGGACAGAGGTATTTCTTTCAGAACTGGAACTTCCAGATAACCCTAGCTGAGGCACCTTGATTTTAAAGAAAATTCAGGGAAGCTTCTTTGTAGATGTAGTGGTCTGCCTGACAGAAGACTTCAGCCTGTGTAAGGTGTGAATCCCTTACCTTATGTAGGAACCATCAAAACCCAAGAAAACATAAAAAAATGAAGTAACAACAAATATAAAGAAAACCAGATTTGAATTCTGAAAAAATAGTTCTATTATCCCAATGTACACAAACGTATTGATGCTTTTGTTCTGAATTAGCATTATATGCTAGTTTGTCCTCTATGAACACACTGTCACTCAATATCCATTTTCACATGTCTGACCTTTTGATATGGTATAATAGAAGAGCGACTGCAAGTGCATGTGAAATGTTGCTTCTTCAGTTATTCAGAAGGCAGAGCACTGAATAACTGCGGGCAGAGCACCTACTGCCTTTATTTAAAAGCCATTTATATGCGTGAAACATGGGATCAATGGCTCTTACTTTAGATAATGATTACGAAGCGCATTAATGAACTTGATTAAGACCTCTGTTCTGAATTTCAGATTGGTGATTCTCCTTCCTCCACGTTGTAACTTCTCCCAAAGGTGTTGAAGAACTGGAATGACCAGTCCCTTTTCCAACGCATAAAAGCTTGTGCAATAAGTATATAATAGGTCACAGAACCTCATTTGAAATGCAGGGCATCTTTCTATCCTCCTCCACTTACAAAACAATGCATCCACATTTATTTGAAAAATTAAAAATGCACTTTTTATTTTCAGGAGATGATCAAGCTGCCGAAAATAGCTCTTTTTAGGAATGCATACAGTGAAGAAGAAATATGACATAGAGCCTTGGCTGCCTAATTCTGGAAGTGAAAACAAGATCTTTCAGAAAACTGAGTGGAGAGTGATGTTTCCTATTGAAAAGTTTCTTGCTTTAAGAGCTTTGAAACTTTAAGATAACAGCTGGCCATTTAAAAAGCAAATCCTGCAAAATGCAAATCTAGGTGCCAAAAGAGCTAATATGTGGAGATGGAAATTTATCAAAGACAGAATGATGCTGGTGAACGAAGGACACATTTTAAAATTACTTGACTTTAGGATGACTTTTAGTAGATGTCATTCATTCATTTTTGAAAACATGATTACCAACATGGGAGAGGAGTATGGCTCTTACCAAGCTTCTGCATGTAAAATACAAACAGCAGCAAGAGGAATGAGGAGGTAAATCTGGAAATTCTAATAGCTGAGAGGCAAATTCAGACCTCTTCTAAACAGCACTTCATTGCACTGACATTGACAGAAAAATGCTCAGGAGAATGTACTACTCAAATAAGCAAGAACAATGTATATTGTTATAAAGGTTTGCCTATGAGCTGCATTTCTAGCAAAGAAAGTAAATTCGCTCAGAGACCCTCTGAACCCTTTTGCATTCATAACTATCAAAAGCACGAGGGTAAAATGGTGGGTAGCACCTCTGGTGGTATTACACTCTGAGTGTTTTGCCCAAAACCACCTCAAACCTTTATGTCTCGTGTAACAAATTTCACAAAGTGATCTGAAACCAGGAGTCGTGTTTGTTGTCTGTGGTTCTCCAGTTTTGGTGATTAGGCTTGTCAAGAACGGATAACCTTGGGCTCCCAACCTGGTAAAATTGGTGAAGAACACACTGAGGGTTGCTCTGCGTAATACCATGAGACTGGAGGCAGCCATCCATTTGGTTTCAGCTGTGACCACCAGCACAGGTCAAGAACAGCAGTGAAAACACAAGACTTCTTGGCCCAATTCCTCCAGTCTGGCATTCCCATTTGTAGAACTTATTCCTCCCAGCTCCAGTATGTGCATCTGGGACTGCGTTGCAGGTCTTATGATGGATTACCACAACAGTCCCATCCTTTGGTACAGCACAGGTGTACCTAAATATAGTTTAGCTTGCCCTGATAAAGCTGTCGGATAAATGGAATTGTGAATTCAAATTTCTAATATGCAATGCATCATAAACACACAGAGTAGTCATCCATCATGAAGAAGATCTCTTTTACCCATGATAAGAACAACATGACCTTTGGGCTACTCTGCTGCCTGAGACCGCTTGAAGCAGAAATTACTTGCAGCCTGTCAAACACCATTCTGAAGTAAGGATTGATGTTTTAAACGATTGCCCCTGGATCTCACACGTTAAATTCCAAATTCCAGTCTCACTAACTTTCTTTTCAGGGTCTCTAAAGACCATAAGGGACAAAACCGAAACCCTCCTGGCCTCAGAGGGTAGATTTGAAGCTGTTAATCATTGTAATTCCACTGACAATACAGTGTATCAGTTTTACACCAGCAATTCTTTAGAATAATTTTGAACCAGGACCTGGGTAAAACCTGGGAGAGTCCACAGGAAAAGAAAGTATTTATTCATTTCTTCTTGCTGGAAAACATGACGTGGCCTTTTGAAATCAGGACCATCAAAACAGAATAGAGGTCAAAACTGTTAGCTGAAAAAACATTCTAAATAACACAAACAGTGCCAATGTCTCTGCTTTCACTGTATTTCTTTCCACGGCCATAGCAAGACTGACAAGGCATGTAAAAATTATTTCACTCTATGGAGAGCAGTGCATTGCTGCATTTCACTTGGAAGAGAGCAGTATCCAACCGTATCATGTCTAACTGGTTCATAGAAATTGCACTGAGTCTATATCCCCACTATTTTTCTTTCCATAGCTATAAATAATTCATGTTATGAGCCATGTGAAAACAAATGATTCTACTGTGTGAGAAGGTGAGGCCCCATTTATCTTTAAACTGACTGGTACCCAACTTTGTCAAGTGCCTGTTTGAACTTCACAGAGAGTATGCACATCTGCCTATCACGTAGTGAAAGAAAACAGTGGAAACCCATCACGGAATCTCTACCAGCTTTGAAATTATTTAGCCAAATATCCCCATGCCATTATTGGGACTGTCTGTAGAGATGTCATAAACCTGGTGTCTTCAAACATAGTTTTCAAGTGGCTCCTTTTCAACTGATAATGCAGGTTGCAGAAAAAAAATGGCTCAACCTTTCCCTAGTGCTTTGCTCCTCTGTATCCCCAGGAATGCAAAAGTACATAAAGAACTCTATTTCTCTATGGGGGTTGTATGTAAAATGCCCTAATGATCAGGGTTCAGACAACGTGCTGGTCATTTCAGACTAGGAGGTCTGATGGGCTTTCAGGACATTAGCAATAAAATCCCAAGGGACTTCTCTTAATGCAGTGAGCCAATATCATTAAATGACACCTTGCTCATACAAGCTGCTGATCTGCTACAAATGCCAACTGATGTGCCCAGTATAGATGGGACACGTGCAGATATGGAAAATACAGGCCTGTGAAAAACCATTAAAATTTACTATTCAAAAAGTGAGATGAAGGTATGGCATACCAGGCAGCCAGGCACTCGAGCCTCCCATTAGCCCTGAAAATGGTTCAATCCCCTCTGCCCATACAACTAAAACCAAACGAAGGCAAACATTTGCACAAAGGTAGCTAAAACTTTCTTTAAAGTTGTAATATTTTGGGGGAAAAAAACCCCAATTGTAAATATTAGTCTGGAGATGGAAATCAGCGACACCATCACAAAAGCTGTGGGCCCATCTGAAGCCAGAGACAAACCCTGGGTTGTCTCGCTATTCACAAATATTGGAGAAGTTCCACTCCAGCTTCTGTGGCTGCCTGTCATCTCCATGTGCATTGTTAACGTCTAAGTCTGGGCTTGCAGCAAATCCCATAAGCAAAGGCCTGGCATCAAGACAGACATTGTGGTGAAGTCAAGCACAACTACTCTCTGGATCTGCTTATGTCACCCTAGAGCCTTGTGGCATTTGTTAATAAGTCACAGTTTTGGTACACAGATCCAAGAACTCTTTTAAAATGCCCATTCTTTGTAGTTACTTCACAAAGCTCTCAATATACTTTTGGACACGCAAAAGCTAATTTCAGAATAATGGAAGGGGCTATGATTTTAGAAGAAAGAAAAAGGAATAAATCAAATATTTCTGAAATAAATGTTTATCCTAAGTTTTCTGAGGATCTCAAAATATGAGGGCATCAGCTTCAAATAAAGATCAGAAATTCAGATGCTGTGTGGTAAGTTGCATTGCCGCAATTTGACTAGAAGGGACAGGCAGTCTGTTATTTTTATTTTCGTGTCCCTGTGAAGATGAATAGGAATGACTGCTCGTGTCCCACTTGTACCTTTCTCACATATGCTCAGTGTAATTCATATTTGGAAGAATGTGGTTCTGATCAGAGTGTGTGCGTGTGTGAACATATAAACTCACAAAGATTTGCCTTGCTGCATACAAGTCAGAGAACAAATTAAAAAGTAGGGATTTCAGGCAACTTAGAATTTAGTGTTTCACATAAGCTGCTTACAGGCAAGTGAAAGGGTAATCAAAGTGCAGTCTTCACTTAGCTGTTGAACAATGATGGATATGGAGATTTCCAAAGCCTCATCACAGGCGGAAGTGAGGCTTCTCCTTTCAATGGCTGGACAAATATTTGAACTGATTGTGTCTGTCTAATCCTTTGCAGTTTTAAAATGCTACCTAGCTCCAGGAAAATATTATACTCCCAGATCAACCTGAAATAATTACAGAAACTTCATATCCTTCTTGTTTTTATTAATGACAGCATTTTAGGATTAATAATGCTATTACCAGCATGCAGTGGACAACAATATTGACTTATTTTCTGCAAAGTGGGCTAGTCTGCTAGTTCGTCTTATTCCCTGTTTTTGTAATTTTCCTTTGCTTTTC